CCCTTAAATAGGCCTTCATAGTTTCCCACAATATTGAAGGAGACGTTCCGGGAAGGTCATTCATTTCAAAGAAGAATGTAATCTGTTCTCTGATAAACTTGCAGAATTCTGGTTCTTTCAACAATTGTGGATCTAATTTCCATGTCCTTTCGGTTTGGCTCAAATTATCTAAATGTAAATCTAAAGAAAGGGGGGCATGATCTGAGATTGCTATATTGTGATATTTTACTTCCCTTGTATAGGGCAATAATTTTCCATCCAACATTAGATAATCAATTCGTGTGTACACATTATGAACATTTGAGTGAAATGAGTAGGCTCTCCCCTGCGGGTTAAAAATCCTCCAGCTATCAAACAAATTAGAGTTATTTAGATATTCCTTAAGAAAAATACTAGCATTAGAGGCCGCTGCTCTACGTGTTGATGAACGGTCTAAGTATGGATCTAATACAAGATTTAGATCCCCTCCAATGATTAGATTAGTTTGCGAAATGTCAGGTATTTGGGCTAAAACATGTTTGTAAAAAAGAGGAGAGTCTATGTTGGGGCCATATATATTAACCAGAGTTATAGGGACAGAATACAATTCTCCAACTAGTATTAAATATCTACCTTCCTTGTCGGATATGGTTGACTTATGGATAAAAGGTGTACCTTTCTTGAATAATATTGCCACACCTCTAGCTCTCACTGCACAAGTAGAATGATAAGCTTGCCCTGTCCACCTGCATCTCAGTTTTATGTGCTCATTCTTGTTAAGGTGGGTTTCCTGAAGAAAGATTATGTCACTAGACATTGTCTTTAAGTGTGCTAATATCTTACCCCTCTTCACAGGATTATTCAAACCTTTAACGTTCCATGTGACCAAAGTGACTTGTCCCCCCTTCTTTGTTTGTGTTACATCAACCTGCATAACTCCGATTAAAATGAGAAAGAGTATAGAATTCCTCACGAGTGTGATAGAAACGATTAAACATGGTATCTAAGTCCCAGCCCACCCTCCCGAACAAAAGACTTACTGTCTTGCCTATACTAAGAAAAACCTGCAAAGTAAGGCGCGACCCCTCTAAGGAAGTTATAAAGAAAAAAAAAGTAAAAAAGGAACGAATAAACAAAATAATTAAATTAAGAGTAACACTCAAACAACCAAGATACATTAACCTACTCAACTAACAACTTCCCTTACTTTTCACTCCTAATTAGAAGTTGAAAAAGGCTCTGCAAAAATATATCGTTCGAACACCAACCTGACACCTGAACAGTTGGGAAACGGTCTAAAAAACATGTCAGGTTATGTAAGCTGCCTATTTGTAGACATCAGTCCACCCTAGATTATCAACGATATTCAAGGCAGCTAATTATTTAAGCAACACCAGAATTCTAAATATTATCTAAACTTAACTGGTTAAGCATCACAGTCCAGGCATTAGGTACCACCAGGACCTGGTCACTCCGCGTCTGCATCAGGTGTCCGCCGCGGGTCGCCTACATCTTCTCCCCCGGCGCCAAAGTGGAGCTCTGCGAATCTCTGGGCTTCTTTCGCGTCTGTGAACATTGTTTCTGTTCCTCTGAAAGTCACTCTTAGCTTTGCAGGATATAAAAGTCCATACCGAACTCCCGGCTTGTCCCGAAGAAGTGCTCTGACACCGTTAAATGCAGCTCTGCGTTTTGCTATCTCGGCGGTGAAGTCAGGAAAGATACGGATCTTCTGTCCCTGGTAGGCGAGGTCTCTCTGAGTCATGGCCTTCCGGAGGATTGTTGTAACGTCGCGGTAATAATGGAGTCTCACCACCAACGCCCGAGGGGGTCCTGTGTCGTCTGGGCGCCTTCGTAGCGCTCTATGAGCGCGATCCACCAGCGGCATATCATCCAGAGTCAGCACTTCTTTCAGGAGCTGCGAGACGAATCCGTTCATTTCCGCACCCTTTTCTGCCCCTTCTTTTAACATTGCAATCCGTATATTTTGACGTCTGGACCTTCCTTCAAGATCTATGTGTTTTTCTGTTAGCTGATTCATTTCTGTGCGTAGACGTTTTATCTCCGACTGTAGCGCAGTTACTTCATCTGCTGACTGTGAGGCCGCTCGCTCGAGCTCAACAATGGATGCGCCATGTTGATCGCTGGACGTTTTCAGAACGTGAATGGCGTTTTGAGTCTCGGTCTTAAGGTTGAGGAGTTCTCCTCTGATAGTGGTGGACACTTCTTCGATGCGAGTATCTATTGTCTGGCAAATTTCGAACTTGGTGACTTGTAGTTCTGTGCGAAGAGAATTTATAGCTTCTAGGATGGTAGCATTAGCCATCGGATAGCTACCTTCAGGCGAGTCCGGGGCGGCAGGGCCTGGCTCTCTTGATTTCTTGTCCTTGTTGGCGGCATGCATCCTTAAATTTGCTTTCATCCTGTCCTGATGCAGTTAAAGTCCGAACTGTTCTCACTCACAACCTGTTATAAGACTGCCCAAATGTCAAGCTAGTGATAAATATATTTAGAAATTTGCAGGAGCTCAAGGGAAACGCTGCCTACTTCTCCATCGCTCACTAGCGCTCCCCCACGTATGTGTTTTGTAGGTAAGCAGTATGTAAGAATTAAGTAATAAAGTAAGTTGTAAGTATGTATGTACTAAGTAGAATTAGTACATACATACTAATGTATGTACAGTGCAGCCCAGCCAGTGGCACTGCTTTCCCTGCAGGAATAAGCAAGGTGGGTGTGGTCACGTGGGGACCAGGTATTTTGTGAGTAGAACTGGACCCCTGAGGTGAGCGGAAAATCAGGTTTTGGTCCTCACCAGTTTAAAAAAACGAGAACACAAACACTCACGCACGCACGCGTGCGTCCGCACATACACACACGCACACACGCATATTTGCGTGGCTATCTTTGTTGGGACTTTCCATTGACTTCCATTCATTTCTACAGCCTAAACCTTACCTTTACCATTTTCCTAACTTACCTTTACCCTTTTCCACAACTCTGTTATTTATTACAGGGAGAAAAAGCTCCCTGTAATAAATAACAGAACTTAATTTCCTAACCTTAATCCACATTGTCTAGAGAAGAAAAGGTCCCTTTTTAAGAAACAAATTTACGCATCTGTTAAACATTAATCCACAGTTTTTTAGTTGAAAAACTCTTTTTAAGAAACAATTAAACTTAGTTTTTAGCTTAACCTCAATCCTCTGTTGATAGTAGTCAACAACTACTCCAAGAAACAAATGAAAAAATGCCAGGCATTTTTCGTTTTTTTTCTCTCCCCTCCCTTTTCTAACCCTTCACAAAACCTTTATCCTTACCCTAACCACTCCATTTTCCTTGCCTAATCCTAACCTCCCCCACCCTTTTCTTCCTCATCCTCCCCCCTTTTTACGCTCCCCCTCTCCTCCTTTCGAACCCTCCACCAAACCTGTACCCTTACCTTAACCACTCTCTCTCCCCCCTTTCTCTCTTTTCTCATGCTCTTTCTTGCTCACCTCTCAATCTCCTCTTCTTTATCCTACACAGTACATAACAAATCACTACAAGCTACACTTGAGCCCAGCTCAAATGGAGCACCAGCACCCACGGGAATATGCTATCCATATTCCACTCACCTTACACAGCACATACAAACTAGAAGGTGGCTCCCTGGAGCACACCACAAGCACCATACACCTGCTACAAAGATAGTACCCTGTTGCTCAAGATAGTTCTTGATCTCGAGTGAGAGTGCACTACCTATGAGGAAGCAATACGGGCTGGAACCAATCTTCGTGGGCTCACGTACCTCGAGAGTGAAAATTCTCAAACACCTAACCATCACATTCCTAACCCTAAGCCTAACCAAAACTCAATTCACACCTTAGTCCTAACTCTAACCCCTGACCCAAAAATAGGGTTTCCCCTTGTGGGGACCAGC